AATTAAATTCCCCAATCCATTTTATATTATATTTATTGATTTTTTACACTTCCGAGGTGTTACAATTTCTTTCAAATACTATAATGCCCCCAAAAAACTCTAATTCCAAAGTTAATGGGGCAAGAAAAGGCTACGAGGTTGACTGGTAGATAGATATACACAGAGTTGGAGCTAGGTGGGGTTCATGGATTTGGACGAATCTAGTAGCTTTTTCGTAGATCATGTATTTGTACTATAAAATTATTTAAATATACATGTATATTAATTTGTGAACTCCTAACAAAATTGATTGACGATTTTAAAGTAAATAAAGAACCCCCAAACTCTTTATCCTTGTTTCACCTACATTAACAACTCTTATAAATAATGGATCGTAAAACAAAGGGAAAAATCATACTAATTAGAATGGTTAGCTACTTAAATATCTGGTTAGTAGTAACAGTTCAGCTTTAATTTTCTTCGCTAGTTCAACATTTCTACAATGGTCGTCTAATACGGTGTGTGTGAGAGAGAAGCCATGTGGATTCTCCGCTATCCAGTTGAGCAATTTGGGTGGGGAGTTTTAATTTTTGATAGAAAAATTTAATAAATTTTGGGTCGGCACATAGGATTAGGATACGTGTATCATCGTTAGTATAAAAGGTATATACGCACTAAAATTTGAACGGTAAGGTCATTGATGTACTGAAAGTATAACGAACGGTATACACATATCATTTACGATATTTATCCTTTTTTCCCTTTTTAAATTAATTGAAAAAATTTTGACTAACATTTTTAAAGTTTATTTGAGAAAAAAAAATACTTTAACTTAAAACAGTTTTAAAGTGAATAAAATGATTAAATAAAGAGACATTAAAAACATATTTTTTAAAGAACAAAAGAATTAAAATATAAAATTTGACCAATATATTTGATTAATAAAATAGATGAATACAGAAAAATTAAAATGAAACACATTAAAAGTAAGCCGACACAAAAAAAATAACTCATTGTTTGGAGAATTCAATTAAGTTAATTAATAATTTAAGGTTAGTTAAACAAGAAATAATCAAATACAATAAAAGAGAAAAGGAGATTATAAACTTAGGCCTTTTCCCAAATTTCAAATTGCTGGGCTGGCAGGCCCAACTTCCTACAACCTGTCCTAAACTAAATTCATGGGTTTCAACCCACATTTTTTTTAAAAATCTGATTGGGCCTGCTGGAATCAAAACAATCCAGTAGATTTGGGCCCTGGCCCAGTTTTGTGTCAAAGCAAGCTGTGTATACATAGTTGTATACTGATGTATACGGGCATTATATAGAATGTATACAGCCTTCTTCTGAGCTTCCACGACCTGTATTTTCAGTTTTCGACCCCATATTTATCCCTAGACCTGTGACTGCTGCTTTTTGACCATGTATATCAGGGTATATCGGTGTATACAGGAGCTGTATATCTGCGTATATCGGTGTATACAGGAGCTGTATACCAGTGTATATCTTCCATTTTTCTACATTATTTCTTGTGTGACCTTATTAACTTGTAGTTCTTTTATATGGGGCCATTGTCCTCAAGCAAATTTTGAATGGAAGATTGCCAAATTTCCCTGGTGATGCTAAAACATTTATTTATTGGAAATTCATCATGTGAAATGTGCAGAAAAAAAGAAAAGAAGTATTTATTCAAAATGCATATAGGAAACTAGGTTTATTACAATATTTAACTATGGTCTTCATCTTCCCGTGCCGCCATTTGGTGTGACTGTACGCCACAGCCGATTTTCCTCAAGGAATTCAGCTGTCATTATTTCTTCGGTGCTAATAAAACAAAAAATAGAATATAATTAGTTTCAATACATTGAAAAAAGAAAAAACTAATTAAAAATTACCTGTTTGTTGACCGTAAACGTTTACGGAAAACAGGAATATATAAGTATGAAGGTTGATTGACCCCACACAACTCTCATTACCACTCATCTTTGTTTGATTCTTAAATTTATTCTTCTTTTCTCACTTAGCTTGCCTCCAAATGTTACCTACGTTTAATAGTAATACACTTGCTTTTAGATCTAGTAAGTTACTACTATAATCCTAATTAGCTATTGGTTTTTTTATGTTGTTGTTGCGCAAAATATATGGGCGTCAATTTTGATGAAAATTGTTGGTACGACAAAAGTAAAACAATTTCTAAATTTGAAACAGTTAAAAAGAATATCTAAACATGCAAGGAAGCATATAAAATTTGAAATCTCCTTAACTGCCATCAATAATTGAAGACATAAAAATCTTCAACGCTATTCAAGAATAAAACTTTAATATACATATATCAAAAATTTAACTTAGGTACACGGTATGACATTAAGTTATGAACGGATCAGGATCAATATGGGCAAAACCGCCCAACACCAAAGAGATCAGTATGTTTGGGATTCGGGTTGATAAATATAACTTGGTAGAGCAAATTGGACTTATGCAAATTGTTGAGAAAAATGTCTACTCCTCTCATATATCTAGTTAGTTACTATTATAATCGAGTAAATCCTAATTAGCTACATTTAGGCATAAAAGTATTGGCAAAAATTAGTCAAAGAGTACAAAGAGCATGGTTTTCTTACAAAATCTTTATAGAAAAAACTTGTGTGTGCATAATACGTGCACCATCCGTGCGCCGCACGTGCATTTTTCGTACAAATAAGACGAACAAATTGAAACTAGTACATAAAGTGAACATATCACATCTCATTTTGTTGAAGAAATTCTCCTAATGTTGTTTTCGTTCTAAGAGAGGGAAAAATGTATTAGCTTAAGTTATCTACAATACTGGTAAAAAACTTAATTTAAATTACCTATTTTTTTACTGTAAACGTTTACAAAAAATAAGAGAATATAAGGAAGAAAGCTTATTTAATTTCAATAGAGCTTTCAATTGTTCCATTTAATAAAATCTCCGAATCTTCGATGGAGATTAAGAGATTAATCTCAATAGGAGATACGAAGATGTTACTAAATGAGACAATTGATAGCTCTGTTGACCCCTTTTTTGGGGGCAATGAGCTTTCTTCCTTGTATTACAGTCACACTAAATGATTGCAACACGTGCCCCCTCTGTGCGCCATGCATGCTATGTGTTGTGCGTGCATTATGTGCGTTGCATGTGTATTATGTATATGTATACTACTGTCTAATATTTTAAATTAAATATTAATCCAAAGAGATTTGATTATATTGATTTATTTTGTTATATGCTTGACTTTGGCTAAGCATTTATTTCGCATCAAGTGGACCCTTGTTTAGTCAAATCAAATAATAATATATGTTATGCATGCAATAATCAAAAATAGTAACTAGATTTTAAAAAAATCTTTAGTATGTAGGTGCTATATTAATGTAGCTGATTAGGATTTGGAATTATCAATATTTAGAGGTACCTTCATTTTTATTCCAAACAAAACTAACTTTGAGTATATATATTTATACTAGGTGAGTCACTGACTATCGCGATCGTGGAATGTCATAGACGTTGCTATCGCGGTAAGTCAGATTCTAATCATGAATTAAAACACAAAAATTGAAAATGAAGGGTTGGATGGTCACATTTACACACTATTATTTACATATTAAATCTTGCTATGAATTTAAGTAATAAATATTGATATAATATAATTTTTTCATAATATCAGTATAATTTAACATCTTATTGCATGTTACTTTAATATTTATTCGATATGACTAACCAAGATTTTGATTAATTAGAATATTTACATGTAATTATCTTTTAAATGACCTAATTTAAGTAAACATTCATTTCACACCATTAGTGCACAATTATTATTTTTATTTTTATTTTTATTTTTGCATAAAACTGTGTGAAAAAGAACCTGAAACAAGGGAAGAGAATAATGAAAATTAATTAGTTTCTGAATTAAGTAATATATGTTCTTAATTATGAAAGATATATTTGACCTTTCTATATTCAATTTAATATGCAAATCTCACATTGGCACATTTGATGGATTTTGATATTTTTTCTTTTATGTATTTTTGATAATATATTCTTATACCTTCCATTAATCCCTTGATGTTTTATCTTTTAATCATGATAGAAAATATCCTTGAATATTTCCTTTCTATTTGAGCACCAAGAATATATTTTTCAACGTCTCATAATTAATTTCCATAAATTTGTAGTTCAAATCTAACACCTTCCTTCCAAAGTTATAACAAATGCATTCAAATTTAAATATTTCTTCCTTTTCATAAAATATTTTCTTTTCAAAGAAACAAATATTTTTTTCAATTATTATTCTGAACTTCTTTTTTAACTTGTACAAATATGATTGATCTTCTACTGTATTGTGCCTCTACATACAAAAAATTGAAATGATTGGGAAAATAGTATTAACTTGTAATACAATCGGCTAAACCTTCAATACGCTATTACCGAATACCATATCAAATCAAAATTTATTTACCGAATGCTAAGTTACCGAATCGAAATTTAAAATTTTGATATTTGGTATCTACTTTTTACTACCAATTACCGAATTACCAAACTCGAAATTTGATAATCCCAAACCAAATACCAAACGCCCACACCTACGTAAACTTCCATTTTGGACCTTTCTTTTCTTAAGTAATAGAAGGATATTAATTATTTATCGTTTAATTTGTAGAATATTTTCCTTCCATAGGATCGTCATAAATATTATTTTCATGATTCTTGTATTTTGATTTAGACGTGTCTTTTTCTTCCATGTATTCTCCCACAATTCTATCTCATAATATATATATATCTTCTTTTTCATATTTGTTAGGATCTTCACAAGATCTTTCTTCATTAAATAAATTTGTATACCAAAAATTAAAATTACCACAAGTAGATAATCTTTAATTAAAAATTATGTTTGTAGCAAAATTAATACGAGGGTCTCCCAAATCATTATGTCGTATATAAATGATAGAATAATCTACACAAACTTCAAACCAAATGATCAATGCTAAAACTAAATTCCAATATGGAACACCTCCTTATTACTCTTATTCTTATGTCAATGCTTCATTTGAATTCATTGGCTTCTTTGATCAATGAAAAATCATACTTCAAGGTTAATTCTACTGCCCTTAAACAAGCTAGAAAAGCTTTCATGGCTTTTGATACATCTAACCTTCAAGATCCTCAAATGCCCCCTAAATCTTTTAGTGTTTACCATCTCGACCTTTTTGAAAAGTCAAAATTCAAGGACTATGACTCTGTATTCAATAATCGTCTTTCTCAAGATGATGCTAGAGCAACATACCTATCGTCGATGCTAAGATCCCATCATAGTACTAAAAATAAAAATTCAAGTGATCACCAAATCCTAAAGGTAGCACCTAGTATGTACATGAAAGGTCATTATGTTGCAACATTTTTACTTGGAAGTGAAAAAATACACAATTTGTTGCTAATAGATACTGGTAATTACTTGACTTGGTGGCAATGTGCACCATGTATTGAAGATAAGTGTTATAAGCCACAAATTTATACAATATACAACTATACCACATCAAACACATATAGAAATTTGGATTGTGTTGCAAATAGTGCAACTTGCATAACTTCAAACTCTGATTTTCATTGTTCTTTAGAAACGAAATCATGTTTCTATGTACATGTTTATGATAATGGAGAAACAACAAAAGGATTTGTTGCATCGGATATTATAACATTTCCATCAGACAATACAGAAGCCAGGATTAATTTTGGATGTAGTGTTGATCAAAAAAGTGGTACTGATTTTAGTGGTACATTTTCTGGGATTGTTGGTCTTAGTAAAAGAGTAAGTAGTAAATCAACAGGAGGATATTCTTTGCCATCACAATTAGGTTCTTCATTATTTGCTTTATGTCTACCAAGTTTAACATCAACACAACCATCTATCCTAACGTTTAATAAAGCTCCGTGGATATATGGAACAGAGGCAAAGTTTGTGAAAAATCGATTGAACCCTCATTTTTACTATGTTAATCTTTACAAAATTTTCATCAACGATAAGGAAGTCCCTGTGGATCCTTCGTGGTGGAATGGTCAAAAAGTTGATCATGGTGCCATGGTTGATACAGGGTCATTGATAACGCGATTTCCTCATGACTTATACATTGTTTTTAGATACATATTTAGAGAACAAGTGAAATACCCAATGCTTCAATATCCTATTGGTATGTTTGATACTTGCTACAAAGATATTGAAGAGGATGAAGATATGTATTTCCCAATTATAAGGTTTTATTTTGGGAATGTTTCACATAAACAAGAGTTGATGCTAGTACAAGAAAGAGTTGTAGCTAATTTACAAGGTTTTTATTGTTTAGCTATTTTGCCATGGGATGATAAAACAACACTTATAGGGTCTCATCAACTTCAAGGCACAGGATTAACTTTTGATATGAAAAATAATGCTTTGACTTTTAGTGTTGATGCTTGTGATTAATGAGGTATGTATAAAAATTCATCAATAAATTATAAGCTTTTTTATTTTAGCTATGCAATAGTACTTGTGTTTTTTTTGGTATATATATTCAATTTGTTAGAACAGAATGATTGTGTGGATTCTTATGGATATTGTAGTTTTGTGTTGAGTCATACTTTATGAAATGGATAGAGAAATAGTAGAAAATTCAGCTTCCTATATATAATATCATATAATATACACAATAATAGCAATAGCAATAGCAACAGCAACAACAACAACAATAGCAGCATCAACAGCAGCAGCAACAACAACAACAAGAACGGATTAGATTGACACGTGCATTTTGTGACGCACGCAAAGCGATATATAAATGCATATACACAGTGCAATCGCAAATGTAATGTATACACAATATATGTAAATGTATATAACCAGCTACCAATATTTGCGACAATAATATATTGGGCTCGTGCGCGCACTGGGACTGTCGTCTAGTGTGTAAAAGAGAAATGAGGTATTGGGATCGGATTAAAGGGTGTTTGGGCCGGATTTGGAGGAAAATTGGATTGGGTTTGCAGTTGATTAGGGCTAAGAAAAAGATTTATCACTTGGACAAAATCGTTTCGTGATTCTTTCAATCCATTTATGTTTAGGCGAGTTAATAACACACTAATTTTCCTTTAATTAACTGAGCTTATTTTGATCCACCAACTAATAGTTTCATACCAAACTTCAAATCTGATACATTTATATACACGTTTTGCTACCAAAATACAAATACATAAGGAAAGAGGTGTGTAAAATAGGAAAGAGGCGAACAATAGAGTTAGTGTTTCTTGGATATATGAATAGTGTATCTGGAATAAATTACACCAAATTTTAACTCAATATATTTGAAATACATGTATCTAGAGACCGAAATCTGACACGAATAGTAATTTTGAGAACTCATGAGAAGATGCATGAAATTTGTTGTTGTTTGGCCTTTTAAACTTGAGTTTATATGTTTACCAAACGAGTAAGATACCATACCATACCCACCCCAATATGTGTTTACCAAACGAGTAGACAAGTTATAAATCAATTTGACCAGGTTATAAGTTTAGTGAAACATCCTCGTAAATCATAATATCTTGGCACAATTAAAAGTTAAAGGAGCTTATATGTAATTACTATAATCTTTTGGGGGCTCAGGTGAAATTATCTTGTACAAATGCTGACCAAATATACTAAAAAGAGAAAGAGGAAAACTAAAACATAGTGATAAAGAACTCACCACAGAGAGAGAGGAGAAAAGAAAAATGGTGCTTAGTGCTTCTGTAGCCATCATCAATGGAGGTATCAACATAAGGGCAAAATCGGAATTTCATCATTCACCTGTTAGAAAGTGAGTTTGCCCTTGTTTTTGATTTGTTACAAGTTTTATTTGCCTGTATTTTGGTGGGTGTTTTGTGTTTATGCTTACTATTAGAGAAATTTTAGCCTTTAGAAATTTCAAGAAAAGTTTTTGGTGTGTTAAGTTATAAAAAGATTGAATCTTGGTTGGAAATTTGTGTTTTCACTGTTATCTTTGTGTCTGTTATAGCAGTTTTGAGTTTTTAAAAATTGTTCAAGAAGAGTGTTTGGAGGTTGAAAAAGAGAGATTTGGCAAGAAGATTTCATTTTTAGAAATTGTTTTAGTGTGTAAAATTCTGAAAAGATTAAGTCTTGGTTAGCTATTCAAAATGAATCTTGTTTTTAATGTATGAGAATTGAGAAGTAGTGTTAGTCGGAATGTTTGTGGATGGTTTGTGTTTTTGCTTATATTTTCTTTGTCGACGTGTTTTTGCTGTCATCTTTTTGGCTATTAGAGCATTTTCAGCCTTTAAATTGTTCAAGGAAAGTTTCGCTTTAGGCCCTCAATCTTGTTGAGTCGGCTCTGCTCTGTGTATATAGCTCATCAAATGAAAGTAGACATTAACTCAAACTAATTACATTTATCAACCTAACACTGGATGGACATCATATTACTGGTATTTCCGATCATCAAATTCATCATATGAGACTGATAGACTAAAAGGTCAAAGATTGAAGAATTGTTTTAGTTTTGCTTGGAGTTCTTGGCGTTGCATGTAAAGGCAACTTCCTTAGCTATCTGCTCTATCTACTTGCTTCTCTCTTTGAAGACCTTTGATTTCTTTCAATACAAATTGTGTGAATCACCTGTGTCTGTGTGTATCCCATTTTGAGCACTTTGAGCTGATTGAGTCTTTCCCTTGGTATGCTGGATATGCCATCTCAGATGTTGCTTCCATCCAACATTCTGCCAGATGCTCCTCTTTAGCCACTGTATGATTCTATCCCATACTATCCTAGTGATTATACATATAGTTTCAACATTATATCCCCATTTAATGAGTCTGTCAACTGTGAGAACCCTATTTTGAAGTTGTAACCATAGAGTAAATTTCTCTACCCCACAAATGTAGGGGCGAGACAGCGGACAGCCCTGATCCCACCCTCCCGAGTCCCCACTTCTGGGACTATACTCGGTATCTTAACGTTTAATCACAGAGTAATTTAGCTTTGGGCCTTGGCCTCATTCCCAAACATTAAACACTTCCATTCCGCTCTTGCATTGTTTCCAATCAACTGTAGGTATATGTGCCTGATTAAGCTCTATTGTCCTCTATCTGAGATTTGCACGTGCTGCATTGTTTCTCTTGCCCGAATGATCTTCCTCATTTACCAGCTAGCTTGCTGTGGTATACTCGTACTTTCAATCTGCTGCCTCTTTATATAATATGTTTATATCCATTTTGTTTTGGTTATGTGTCAAATCCCAATGTCTTGGCAATAGTTTCTTTATTCCATCAAAGAAGTTAAACGAGTCCTAGGCCCTCAAATGATTTTGGCAGACAAACTTTATCCCAGGATACTAATGCCTTCTTGGTTATCACATTGGTTCCAGACCAAACATGGCTTCTACTCAGATATTGTATAAAGATTGCAAACAGGAAAGGTGACATGGGATCACGGCCTAAGACCTCTAGCTGCATTGAGAGGTTCTATTGGCTCTCCATTTATCACTATTGAGTAATTTACAGTATTCACACATTCCCTAACCCAAGTGATAAATTTAGTAGGAATTTGAGCGCTTCCGTTACTTGTTGTAGAGAAATGCATTCAACATGATCATTTACTTTCCTTAGATCTATCTTGATCATTCATCTTGGGGACACATGCTTTGTAGTGTAGGCTTTCACTAGCTCATGCGATAATACGTGGCGTTGTCTACAATTCTTCCTAGTATTCAGCATCCACTCAAAATCTATGTTGCTCGGACTCTTCAAACATGTTGCCGGGTGCGTGTTGGATCCACCAAAGGAAGTGCATTTTTGAAGGGTCCAACACGGGTGCGGCAACATTTATTGAGAATCCGAGCAATGTAGCTCAGAATTGTTCCGATAGAAAGGCGAATATCACATGACTATTCTGTTTTTCTCCTTTTAATAAAGCAGTTTTTATGTGTCAGGTTTGAATATGGACGTATGCTGAACACTGATTTGGCTTCATGGAAAACCAGGAGTCAAGCAATCCGCGTCCTGGCAAATCCCAATGTATGCATTATGAAGGCTTCCATGTATGTAATACTAGTAAAAATTGGTTAGATTATGCTCTTCAAAAAATAAAACAAAGATAGATTTTGTTATATGGCCGGTGGTAAAATTATGTGAACGGTGATTTAGTAAATCTTGTTTCTACTTTCTACTTACTTGTTTATGTGGCTATTATATCTTCGTCTTTAAATGTGTGCGCAAGCCAGCCTAAACACCACGGTCATAAAAAAGAAGTTAGAAATACTCTATGCATATGTACAAAAAGACTACCCCGTTAATGTCGTTTGTTTGGTATTAGAGACATCTTCATAGTGATTCGAGGTCGTTATCTGTCAACTTGAGCTTCTAAATGAAAACTTCTTTGTCTACAGGCATCTCCAGGGAGAGAGAGAAAAAGGAAGGAAGTGATCATGGTGGATCCTTTAGAAGCCAAGCGATTAGCTGCAAAGCAAATGGAGGAAATCAAAGCTAAAGAGAGATATCAAGTGAGTAAACCTCAATTATATTTTCATGCGTGCTGAATCTCTGTAACTTGGCACTTCTCGACTCCTAGGTGCCTCTTAGCAGATTTAGTAGTTTCGGCTATTGAATTCATATTATTAGCTCAAGGTAATTATTCCCACTCTCGTCTATTGTATGTTAGTATATCGGCATTGAACATGATGCTTACCTCTAAGCAAATTGAGTATAGTGATGTTGAGTTTACATTATTTGCTAAAAGGTAATTAGTCTTCCGGTTCTCATCTCCGGAGTGGTAGTAAAATCGGCCCTGAATGTCAAGTTATTAGTTTATTTCCACTTTATGTGAGATAAATCTTCCAGTGACGTTAAACATTTAAGTCGGTCATTCCCTATAAGCTAGGTTGCTTGAACTCTCCAAAAAATGTTGTCGCACTCGTATCAGATCCTCCATAAACATACTACTTTTGGGGGATCTGACACGCAACCGTCGATATTTTTTAAGAGTCCGAGCAACATAGCCTACTGATACATACTTCTACCAAGCGTAACGTAATCTCCACATCCTACCTTGTGAATTTCTGCTTACTTAAGTCTTGAATGATGTGACCTGGATAAAATATCATGTCCTTTCCACCTTTGAAGATTCTTGTACTTGTACAAATGCTATTGAAACTTGTTACCGTTACATCGATTATACATTCTCTGCTCTGAATTTTCTTACAGAGACGGCGACAAATAGAAGCAATTAACGGTGCATGGGCTATGATCGGTCTCACGGTCGGATTAATCATTGAAGGACACACAGGACTCAGCATTCCATCGCAGGTAAGAATACGACAAAAAGGTGCATTTGTCCTCATTCACAGTTACCTATGTTGCTCAGTCTCTTCAAAAATGTCGATAAGTGTGTGTCAAATCCTCCTGCATTTTGGAGGATCCGACATGGTGAAGCAACTT